GTCTGCTGCAGGCGGGTTTTGAATTGGATTTTGAAAAATCACATGGTTTTGGTGGCAAACAACAGGAGCGTCTGTGCCAATGATCTGCCGCTGATCTGTCGGTGGGCTCGAAGCTATTGGCTTAAACGAAATAGGGGAGACATTCGTACTACGTTTAATGGGGTTTGACGAGGGCATGGCATGGAGTCTACTGAGGACATGCGTGTATGGCTTGCTCACACATTCGCAAAAAGCATTATGTTCCATGGACCTCACGTTCAAGTCACATTTAATACACGAGGTTGGCTGATACTGAAGCTGTAATTCATATTGATAGGTGCTCGGTGTATTCATCTGTGCATTTCGAAAGCTTTGTACTTATTCGAGTTTCATATCTGCGGTTTCCACAGTTTTTTTGTAACTTCTCTACAGTAATATACATAATGATGAAGTCTAACGCATTTCCTAGACTCTCTCTACAATATACGAGTACTTCTTATGACCTCTGATTGCAAAGTATGTCCGAGGAGGTCATACCTCCATCCTCGCACCCCCATTCATAAAGTTCCTACCACCCTTGATTCTTCAACTGCTTCACTCTGCCCACAATGCCCTTGAATCCCTCCATGAAGTTGTTTCTCCACCTTTGTCGACGAAGTCTCTTCCTTTTCATACCACCTCTTTCGTGAAACCTCTGATGTGTTTGATCGTGACGTACTTTATTCAATGCACACGAGGCCTCCAACATTCGGATTCCCCGCGATAAATCTATATTAGACTTGATATCCACCGTTCGACCAGTTCGGGGCGAGAGACGCATTTCAGTTCGAGGAGGTTGAATTGGGTTTACCATTGAGGCAACTTCATGCATGAAATCCTCATGACTTCCTGTCACTCCAGTCTTCTTATTGGGAACTTGCATTCCTGCAAATTGTGTAGACATCCCTGGGGAGCGTGTCAAATTGCTGGAGGGATTAGAAATGGTGGGATTGCTCAATCGGCTGAGAAGACTGGAGGATTTTAGTTCGGGCGATTGATAGGTTCTAGGAGTGTTGGTTCGCTTCTCTAATTGGGCAGAGGAAGATTTGAAGTGCGAAGAAGCGGTACGGTGCTCGGGTTTTATCCAACTAAGGGTCTGGCTGATAGATTGCGTGCCGAGCGACTCGAGAGTATCTTCTTTTGGAGTGGGCGGGGTTGCGGGAGAGCCATTAGAAGCTTCTCGGGTTGAGGGTGAAGACGAGGATGTAGATGTTTCTGGAGTAAAAGGCGCTCGAGTAGTGGGCTCTGAATTTGGTGCGTATGTTCGTGGAGTTGTAGAAAGTGCCCGATGAGCTATGGGAGTCCTTGTTACATTCTGCCTACTGGACTGTAATAGTTGGGCGAGTGGTGCATCTCTCGTGCTCGACCGAAACACGGCCGATCCAATACGTCTTAACTCCATGATACTATATGAATATTAGATAAGTAACTGGGGATCTGCAAGAAGAATTAGACTTACGATGATTAAATTGAGAGGTCGTCAATAGAGATGTCGTTGATACCGGGGCCGATGAACTTTTTTGGGGTGACGCGCTAAGAAATTTATATTGTCTGTGCGCTACGAATTTTGGATCCTCGGGATTTGAGCTGTGAAGTAAATATTACATTGTATCGCAAAAGAAACATTGATTGCGCCAGCTTCAATTCCTCTTTTTCTTTATCAATTTCAGTAACAATTTTCCAGATACTAAGATTGCTACATTATACTCTCAAGGCTTTGATAGTTATGTCGTATAATCCCTATGGTGGTAAGATAACTAATGGCTTTGAATCTCCCTCGTCTTTCATCTTTTGCTAATGAATGTCATCCATCCAGCGTCGCCTTATGGTAGACCTCCAGGATTTGGTGGATTCCCAGGCCAGAATGGATCTGCGCCTGGTATGGGGCCACCTCCGGGAATGGGTAGGAAACTCTTGATGAATAGAGCATCGATTTGTTCAGCTAATATAAGGATGAATAGGACCTCCACCAGGCATGTCTGCGCCAGGTACAGCTCCTCCCCCTGGCTTGCAACAAGCCAACAATCCACAGCCTTCACGACCCGGCGGAATCCCAGCCAGTTTTCAACCTCCGACCAACATGCCGAACATCAACTTCAGCGCGCCTGTCATTAGATTAGGTACCGGTCCTGCGAAATCCAATACACCAGTCTCAGCCAATGGTTCAGGAATAGACCCTATGTCTGGAGGAGGCTCGGATAGAGCTACCGCGTATACTCAGAATGCACAGAGAATGGCATCGATGAGAGAAAGTATCATGTCTTTAGTGCCGCCTACGAAGGAAGAGATCGTAAGAACTATATTTGTTGGCGGCATTACGGAAGGGGCTGGCGGTGACGAGGGAATCGAGCGGATTCTGGGCTCGGCAGGTAGATTACGCAGATGGGATAGAGCTATTGATGGAGCTGGGAAGGAGTGTAGTTTCGGATTTGCGCAGTATGATGACGCGGAGAGTTTGGCTACGGCTGTAGAAATTTTGAAGGACATCGAAATTCCAACCAAGAAACAACCACCTTTTGATGGCACTAAGAAGGATGAGGAGGATGAAGTGGAGAAGAACAAACTACTGGTCTTTGTGGATGATAATTCTTTGAACTATTTGGAGAATCACCAGGCTTCAAGAGCCGATGATGCTACAGGTGACCAAACACGTCTCGATGCGGCTAGAATAGGGTTGAAGGCGGTACTTTACGAGCTCTTTCATCCACCTATGTTCGTCAAGGCTGAAGAGACTTCAGAGGATATTGCTATGCAGGATGCAAATGGGGGTGACAATGTTGAAGTTGTTAACATTCCACTAGCAGTCGACGATGAACTTTCGGATATTCCAGCTGAAATGAGAGAAACGGTTGCACAAGAAATTGCTGCTTTTAGGGATAGAAGTAACAGACGAGACCTTGAACGTCTCAAGCGCGAGGAGGAAATGGAGGCATTAGAAAGGCAAAGAAACGGTGCACCCCGACCTTCACGCCTTGCTTCCCCCGGGCCACAAATTCCCAGTGGGCCTTCTGCTGGTTCGAATAATATACCTCTTGGCCCTAGAGGTGTACCTAATGCACCTTCGGGTCCTAAATTTCAAGGCCAACAGATACCACGAGACTATCAAGCTGGCGTTAAATTTGTTAATGGCAGTGGTATCAATGGTGGATCCGGCGGGGACAATTATTATAACCGCGAGGACGAGGACAGTGATGCTAGCGATGAGGAACTCGAGCGACGAAGAAAGTCAAAAAAAGAGGCAGAACTTGAGAAGCAATATCTCGACCAAGAAAGACGCTGGCTCAATCGTGAAAAATCTCGCACAGCAGCTGTTCAACGAGAAAAAGAACGTGAAGACGAGGATGTTGTGAATGGGGATGATCTGAAACAGAAGATGGCTGCAAGGCTCAAGGAATGGGACGATGATGCCGAGGCTGCTCGCAAAACTGATCCATATTATGTTGACAGAAGTCTCTGGGTTCGAAATCGTGCAATCTATGTTCAACGCGAAGCTGCTGCCGATGAGAGAGATAGAATTGCGGAACAACATGAGAGACGCCGCGAGACGTCAGATAAAGAGCAAGCTAGAGGATTGGCAGACTCATTCCTCGACCGTCAAGCTGAAGAACTCGAAACGAGATCTTCTCGCATGGCTCAACAACCCTTCAAGTTGTCCCTTGGAGCTGCGGCTCAGAAAGCCCAAAAGGCAGCTCCACCTCGTCGCACTGTTGCTGAAGTTGAAGGTCTCCTCGAAGATGAGGAAGAAGCCGATAACACATCGAAACGCACACTCATCCCAATCAAATTCGATCCTTCGACAGCAGCAGCTGGCCTTTCTGACGAAGAACGTGATCAGGCGGTTCGACAACTTGCACAAGAGATACCCACAGAGAAAGAGGGACTTTGGGCATGGGATGTCAAGTGGGACTTTGTGGATGATTCTGTGATCGTGGAGAAGTTGAGACCGTTCGTTGAAAAGAAGATTGTGGAATATCTGGGAGTGCAGGAACAGTTACTTGTGGAGGTTGTTGAGGAGCATGTTAGGACCAGGGGCAAGCCACAAGAACTGGTGGAGCAGTTGGAGGGAGTACGTAATCATCTTTTGCTTTTATCTCGTGTATCATTTTAGACATTTACTAACATTCTTACAGGCATTGGATGAGGAAGCAGAAGTTCTGGTGAAGAAGTTATGGAGAATGGTCATTTTCTTTTCAGAGAGTGAGAAGAGAGGTCTGTCTGCATAAATTACAGTCGCCATATCAATAACAAGAAAGGTTTCAAAAGGTAACATTTGAAAGGCGTGATACGGCGTTCACCCAATCTATTACGGGAAGAGAAAGATTGTATTTGAGGAAGAAAAGGGGCTTGTTGTTAATCGCAATTAATTGCCGAGACAAATTTATGAAAATGTCAGGCAATGGTCCTGACTGCAACACACTGCCAAACAGCATATACATTAAAAAAATTAATAAATATCACAGGGTGCACAACTCTTCGACATCTTTCAACTTTTGATTCGTATTTGTGGCGAGTACTTGAGATATTGCTAAAATTGTGTTCCTGGAAGGAATGATCGCTCATCATACCCGCTTTTGGAATTAATGGTTACATCGTCGATGAACCCACGGGCAATCATCCGATTTGTGGATTAATATGCCCGATCATGCAGGGCAGCCATCAATAAGCTTCAAACTTTATTCCCTTGGTTCGCCACTTTCTCTTACAAATGAAATTAGATATCAATGTGGAACGCCATTATGCAACACAGGATGTCAAAATGAATTTTTAGCTGAAGATTTGATTCGTGGGCATGACAGGAACATCTGATTAAAATCACCAGGGTTAGCGAATCTGCGATTTCCCGAATGCCCCGCGTACGTTTACCCCATAGGCAATTTCAATGCGGCATTTCAAAAGTCCCGAAATATTCATAATGCGACTTATAAAACATTGAAGTTGATATTTGTATTGCAAGCCAAGAGCTGTCCAGTATCTTGTCAAACATGAAGTTACACGATTTTCTCATCTTCTCGCTTCTCTCATTCTCCCTCTCTTCGGCAAAACTATGTTCCATGCCCTATAACTCCTCCCCCTTGATCGACGACGCACCAGGCATCACGACAGCTGTTAATCTTTGTGGCCCGAACTCTACAATTCTTTTCCAACCAAACGTCACGTATAATCTACTCACTCCCCTCAGTTTCAAAAACCTTACGAGTGTAAAGTTTTCGTTCGAGGGCAATATCAGTTTGAGTGAGAATGTGACGGCGGTACAGCTGGTGGTCAACAATACTCGTACTTATCCCGGAAGATGGATTACGCTTAAGGGGACAAACGTCACTTTTGAGGGCAGTGAGGAGGAGAGTGGTGGTTGGTTTTTGGCGCATGGGGAGAAATGGTGGAGTAGTCCGTGGGACTCGGTGCAAGGAGGACGGCCGCATTGGTTCGGGTTTACGGTTACGTATGTTTAAGATGTTGCCTTTTTAGCACTCCTTTCATCGACAGGCTTTTGCTGATTCTTTTGGAAGTGATCTTGTGATTCGCAATCTTAAGATTCTTAATCCTGTGGCGTGGGTGTTTTCGATAGGGGGAAGTAATGTCGAGATGAGGAATATCTTCATTGATGCTAGGAGTAATGATGGATTTCCCTTTAACACTGGTATTTATCTCCTCCATTCACAGTCATTTGAGGATGATTTATTAGAATATGATATATTAAATGATCGAATAGATGGAATTGACCTCTCTGCATCTAACGTCTTAATTGACGGGTTCGAAATTCACAATGGTGATGATGTTATCAACGTCTGACCTCCCGCTACAAACGTCACAATGCGCAATATCATCGCCTCCGGAACGCACGGGCTCTCTGTCTCTTGCTCTTCAGGCACAGGCGGTAATTACACGTTTGAAAATGCGTATATTTATGACAGTTTGATGGCAGCGAGATTCAAGGGGGCGATAGGTAAAACTTGTAATGTAAGTAATGTGACGTGGAGAAATATCGAGGTGAAGAATGTTAGCTACCCAATCCATTTTATTGAGGATTATTATGATCAGGAAAAGGGTATTCCGAGCGGGACGGATACTAGTCTTGCGGCTTATGCGAAGGGGTTTACATGGGAGGGAATTAATGGGACTGTGGCGGCAGTGGTTGGGGATGCGAGTTGTGTGAGTGACCCGTGTTGGTATGCTACTACCAGTGAGTCTTCCCGCTTTGATCTTGTTGAAAAGTCAACCTTCGGTGCATAGGAAATTTGTAGGTTAATGGTGTATAGATGAATCGCCAAAGAATGGGCTGTATCTACTTTGTCATGATAGCGCACACTGCGAGGACTTCCACTTCGAGGGCATTGATTTGACTACTGCAGTAAGTCAACTACAAATATTTGCGAATCTTCTTCGTTACTAATGGATTTCTAGAATGGGACTACGGCGGGAGAAGTATGTACGGGGTTGGAAGGTGTGGAGGGCATGGGGGTTACTTGTGTGAATGGAACGATTACAGCGAACTGATTGTCTAGACCGGTATTCACTCTCGCGAATGTCACTTGACTGCTAGGCGACTATATACCTACTTTCAAATAGCTATATAGATCTATTTATAACTCGGAGATTCAACCTGATATATATCTGAACAGGCAATGCCCTTCGAATCTGGCTTGCCTGGATTTGACCGCAAAACTACACCGATAAATCTGAAAATCACTACTGAGTGATCATACATTGTTTGGGTGCTCTGAAAGTTTCAATATGTAATTGTATTCTATCTCAAAAACATGTTGTTTTTGAATGGCTATTGACTGCTCAGACTTTCAAACAAAGGGAGCAGGCAATCTGAAGATACACAGAGAGTATGGAGATTTGTGAAAGTTATATCTTCTCTCAGGATATCAGTGAGGCTTGAATAGTCAAAGAAGATGCTGCAACTCAACAATGAAACAAACATTGTTATACTTATGACAAGATGCAAACTAACATTTGAAAGGCCATGTTTGACTCCTGTTAGGGTTGTTTCCATACGTGGCTAAGGACTTCTATTGTTTTGTTTGCGAGCTTTCCATGGCTATTCTATGCAATGCAGATCATAGATCATGTCACCCAAGGAAAAATCAATTGATAAATTCAAGTGAATTCCGTTCTTTGATTTATCTTTGTGCATCTCATTGGGGGGTGTCGTCTCAATTCACTAGAACACATCTTCTGAAACCACGTCTTTGGCCCATCCCTTTAGCGGAAATGTAAAAGCATATAAAATTGATTGCATTTCTTTCCATGGCCACAAGAATCTCTTATGAAATTTCTGGTTGAGAAAAATAAATAAGTCGGCAATTCGCTTGGTCAAGTTAAAACTGACTTTCCCTGGACTTCACAATATATTGCCTCTGCCTTCGTTGCTCCTCTCCCGCGATCTGACAACTCCTCAAAATGCTAGGACCGACTAGATTCAATGTAAAGCCATTTTTATACCCATTTGGAAATACTCCAGCAATCAATTTGTTACAGTCTCGGCGTCCTGCTTGCGAGAAGGATGATGTGGTAAGAGTATTGTTGCTGGGTTGTGGTGATCCCAGAAACTTGTTGTTTACCCTTTGGTGCAATAAAGGTGAGGGAGGCAGCATGTTCTCTCAAGATTTGATTCATATTATGCGCAATTACTAATACTCTGTTCTATAGATGAAGCGATAAAATGGGAGTTCATGTGTTGCGACTCAGAAAGTGCAATTCTGGGTAAGACAGCCCCCGCCATCTCTCTTCTTTTTGGATTCGCCCATTAATGAACCTTTCATATAGCGCGCAATATTCTTCTTTTTTCGCTCATCATCGACAACAAATCCTACGCATCAATCTGGAATTTATTTTACCATTTCTACATAACCAACACCGACAATGCCGTGCTACAGAAACAGATTCGCAAACTTCTTCAACAATCGGCGAACTTAGAAGTGTGGTCGTCTTCCAGCTATGGCGCATCGATCTGTTTCATGAACCAAGACACATTGGATCAAGTTCGAGAAATGTGGTCTCAGTACCTCGAGGTCGCAAATCTTAGGTCAGATTCCAAGGAACGAGATCACTTCGAAACAAAGTTTAAATCAGAGGTCAATTTAACCAGGCGAGAGCAATATATTACGAATAGGGATATCGGGGTCCAGGATGTCTGTGGCCGGAAACAGTATGCATCTGCTCTTCGTTCAGCAGGTGGGAATTGGGAAAGTGCCATCCAAACAGTTGTCAATGCCTTTGATGGGTTTTGGGACCACGGTGTAATCGCGGGGAACTCGCATGATGTGGAAGCTTTGAAACATGACGGCCAACTTGTGAATCCGCTGATGGCACTTACTTCTGCAGGGAATGTATTTGCGATCTCTTCAAACTCGGATCCTCTTTTGGGCTTTCGTCTTGCAAGCGCCTTCGATGATTCGAATTCTTCTCAGGAGGAATTGGCAGAGGCCGTTGTGATGCTAGCAAAGGCTCAATTCCAGGAGTGGTGCGCGAGTTTTGGGGAGAGGGTTCGTGAGAAAGGAATAGCCATACGCCTCTATTGCGGCGACGCTTTGAGATTCTCTTATGCGCTACAAAGCTTAGGAGGTAATGTAACGCCAGAAACGAAACTGCTCAGTATGTTCACCACGGCATGGCGTTCAACTCCACTGAATCTAGACGATCCTGGTATAGCAAGCGGTATTCGTTCGTTTGACGTCATCGACACCAATAATCTGGCTGATCCGCTTGGCATTCTGAATCTGCTGCCTGCTATATCGCCATTATTGTCTCGCAAGGCAACCTCAGTCATATTTACTGAAACGCTGTCTTTGTATACCAAAGATCCAGTCGAAATCCTATCTCATATTCTGTGTTGCGATATCACAACCTTCTCACTGCTTCTGGGGCTGGCGCCATCCGGTCACTTGTTCGGCTTTACCACATATGCCGTTGGACTGGATGCCCAACGACAATTCTCAGTGCATCGAAATAATAATGATAGTTATCATATGCGAGTTGAGTGGAGGCACCCAAATCTAGAAGATCCAGCCGGTAGAGAATTGATCTTTGAACCGCATGAACTTGCCCTTTTCTTCTTCAAGCTCTACCTGAGGATGTTTGAAATTGAGTCCATGTATCCAACTACCGGAAAAGAAATGCATTGTCTTAGATACAGTCGCCTAGGTTTTTCCGCTCTTGTTTGCCTAGCGAAAGGTTGTGTCAAGAAAGATCAGCTGTCAACTTTTGGGCACTGTCTTCTCGGACATATCGAAAACGAGGATAGGTTGCGTGTCGGTGGTCTCCAACTCCTCGAATTATCTTTACACTTTTGCCAACTGGGTATTTGTTCTCGGCCCTCTTTACTGGAAATACCTCATCAAATCATGCTCGCAAACCAGAAAGGATTCAAAAATGGTCCATTGAGTTTTCTAAATGAAGAAGCCGATGGGAACCCACTTCATCACAATAAATTTCCCCGTCTGGTTTGGATCTCTCTGAGCATTCCACACGAGATTCTTGAGGCATTGAAGTTAGATAACGAGTATGCCACGGTTGGGCTACAGATCAAAATCCGGCATACAAAAAGTAAGACCGAGGCCATCTTCATTTGTCTTCAGTGCTTTTTTGGTAGTCTGGTCCAACGAGCTGATGATAATGATGCTTACGACGTCATTGAAGATCAACAGGGCTTGAAGGGGACATCGGACTTAATTGTGACATGTGCTGTACCCTCCTTGGTGTTGATGATAGAGTCCAGAGAATCCACGCGAGTAGAGTTAGCTTGTTTGAGCAACAAGTTGAGTGCGGACTATATGTGCGACGAGGCTATATGTAGCTATAGCCTTGACGAGGATAATGTTTTGATTCTAAGAGAACCCCCAGGAGTCAGATTGCGACCTTTTGCAACAGATCATGCAGGCTCTCTACGTACACCTTCTGCCTCTAAAAGACCTTGCTTTGTCAGAATGAAAGACGGCCTTTCAGTCGAGACCATGGAAATTCAAAAGAACTTTGAACATTTGGAAACCGAAAGTGCCATCAGAGCTCGCCAAATATCTCCTTGCACTATTTCCGAAAGATTCAACGGCTTTGAAGTCGGTCAGGTCGAATTCCCATATCCGATCACACTCCACAAAGCGATAATTGATACTTCGAACAAGGTGAAAGCATTGGTTGCTAAGCCGAGTTTAGCTTTAGATAATACAGGCTACACACTGAATCCATTTCCAGTTGTGTTGAATGGCTCAGACGCTTACCCCCTTACACTTCCCAAAGTAAACATGAATCAGCAGCCAATCATATCTGGCACTGGCCGCGAAACTGCGGAATGGATTTCGAATCTCATGCATAGCATGTTCTGCGCACGAGAACGCTCGTACTGGCGCGGATCTGATGTTGGTCTCCAAGAAGATGTTCCTGCTCTATTCTCAATCAAAAGCTACATCCACAATATGGCGGTTTCCTTTGTTCAACCATCTCGACTAGGTCGGAAGCAGACGTTTCTGTTCGATTCTAGTGACCCACGTAGTACTTCAATGATCATTTTTGTCTCGGCTTTGCGACATAATATTGATCAGAGCTCGGTTGTTCTGGATGCATATGTACTTCCGCTTACAGCCGAATTCTCCCCACTCACTCCCGTAATCAAGAAACTACTAGCTCATAAAAGCACACAGCCAATTTCCTATTGTATGAGAGACGTAGACGAGCAACTAATGAGACAAATGCTTCCGGCAACCGTAGAAGCATGTCGAAAAGACTGGGACCACGGCCCAGGATGCAAATACCGTCAATATGGCTCAGTGTCCTTGTACACTGAATCGAGCCAGTCACCAATCTGCGCATGCGGCGAAGGAAAAGATGCAGAAGGCTTTCCGCAGGTTGAAGGATGGAAAACGCTTAGTAGATATGCAACAACAATCGCTCTTATGCCGTTATCAACGGTGGATTATGTTGAGGCACATTATTCGCAGGAAGAACATGACAACTATGAAAAAGGAAAACTCTCAATGTCGACCTCTCCAAATTCTCACATAGATGAAATAACACGGAAGTTGGTTAATCAACTCGGTGTAGTTGACCCCAGAGGATGTAAGAAATGTGGCGATATCCCACAGGGAGACACGGTGTATAAGCAATGCGCGAGATGTAGAGGAGTGAGGTATTGTAGTCCGATGTGTCAGAAGGCAGACTGGAAAGAGCATAAGAAAATCTGTAAGACTGCAGCGCCTGGCACTTGAGTCAAATGTTGTTGGGTCAATTGATCGCTATCAGATCGCGAGTTTCATTGTTACACTCTGCTTGAGTGAATTGAACCTTCTCCGTTGGCGTGAATTATCCAAACTGCTTGACCATAACCGTCCTCGGTGCAAATTATATTTGTACATATGTCCTGAAAAATTTCTCCCAGTTATCGATTCTCTGGTTCATTCGAGATATCGATTTGTTTTATTTCTCCAAATCCTTATTTCCGGCACTCAAGTCTGCATTCAGTGAGCTTTGATCGACGACAGTCGAAGAACTCGATG